TGGTACATTCACGCGCTCAAGAGTCACCAGGAGAGCTGTCAATCCCTCCTCCTGACTCAGTTCAAAAACCGTAAAATCAGAGGAGGTGGGGGAAATGCGTAAAGAAGCGTTTTGGGCCATGGGCTGTGAGAAAATGGGTCCACCCCCAGCGGTGGTTCGTCTCACGGGCTCAGTGAAAACCATAGTTGACACTGAGCGTTTTCTCATGTCGCAAACAGGTCCACAGCTGCTTTGCCAAATTTCTGCCATGTCTGGGCCATCAGATCTGGATGGAGGGTCCAGTCCCTATGATGTGGACTGCCCCTGGACATCACATCTGCCCCTTTTAGAACACCGGGATGTACACTGCTCTGATAGAAAGCAGATTTTGGTGTGCCCAACACAGTATTTTTCTCGCAATGTGTAACATTTGGGCTGAGCGCACATCCCCCTGCCAGTTTATGTAAGCAGCAGTCACCTTGTTGTCTGTGTAAATCATAATGTGTTGACTCTGCAGCACAGGAGCAAAGTGTTGAATCACGTTCAGAACCGTGCGACACTCCAGAACATTTATATGAGCTGTTGTGTGATGGGGCCACAGTGCCCCTACAGCTCGAGATAGGCATGTCCCCCCCCCCAACCTGACAACGACGCGTCTGTGAAGACTGACACGTGTGACGTGGGTCTGCTGACGGGGACTCCCTCCGACAGAACCGGGGTGTTTTCCCAGTGTCGGAGGTCTGTTCTCACAGAGGGAGGAACAGTGATTATCTGTCTCTTTAGCTTTACCGGATCCACACGCAGACGAGAAAACCATCTCTGTAGGCATCTCGTGTGTAGTAAACCCAGCGGGACCACTATGCGAGCTGACGACATCGTTCCTAACAGCTTCATGACGGAAATAGCTGTTACTACTCTGCCCGGTCTTACGTGGCAGAGCTGGACTCTTAGAGCGTCGATTCTCGTCTGTGATAAACGAGCCCTCATGGTAGTCGAGTTTAGCTCCACTCCCAGATAAACAATCGTCTGGGCCGGGAGAATCGAGCTTTTCTTCCAATTTATGGCAAAGCCCAGATTTAACAGGTGTGATGTCAACACCTGAGCCTGCATCGCTGCTTCCCGTCTGGAGCGTGACAGCAGCAGCAGGTCATCCAGGTAAAACAAAACTCTCATCCCTGCTCTGTGTAACAGTTACAGGGCCGTCTCTACACACTTTGAGAACGTACAAGGCGCGAGGGAATACCCGAACGGTGGCCTGTTGTACTGATACTGAATCCCTTGAAAGGAGAAGCGCAGAAATTTTCTGTGTTTTGGGATGATAGGTATGTGGAAGTAGGCGTCTTTCAGATCGATGGAAACAAACCAGTCATTTCTCTGGATGTTGTCCAACAGTTGTCTGCTTGTCAACATGTGAAACGGTCTGTCCATGATCGTCTTGTTGAAAACTGGCAGGTCCAAAATCGGTCTCGTTCCTCTGGTCCGTTTTGGAACCGTGAAGTAACGTGAGTAAAAACCTGTGTTTTCCTCTCCATCGGGAACCCTGGAGATCACCTAATTTACCAGAAGTTCTTGGACTTCTGCTCTTAGGGATGAGACTTGGTCTAGTGATGACAGGATCGTCTCTAAGACTCCTCCGAACTGAGGGGGTCGTGCTGCAAATTGCAGCGTGTAACCCCTGCTTAACAACCTGGTCATCCATCTGTCTGGCGAGCATGTTCGCAGGCACTCCGCGTAACGTTCGTGGAGTGGGTGAGCGTTTAGGTGATGTTTTCTACTGATGTCAGCCAGTCCACCGCCTCGACTGCCGTCATGTGCCACGGGAGAGTGTTCTGCGTGACCCAAGGCGAGGCTTCCTCTAAAGCGTTCTGATCGTGCCTGTGTGTTGCGCTAGGGCTGCGGGTCCACATTCATGTCTGTCGTGTGTTGAGGAGAGGCATGTGAAAACTGTTGACACCATGGGGGCACGTGTTTGATGCCACTGCGGTGAGACACGTGTCGCTCCTGCCGAGAGTGAGGTCCTTCACTGGGCTCGCTTTACGGTCTCACATTTATGCTGACGTGAGCGGGCGAGTGCTGAGAATCAGTGAGCGCGCCTTCATCAACGCCGTGCCGATTGAGTGAAGGCTGCAAGCACCGCGGGAGCACTCATTTTCTTCGGTGGGGTGCGCGCCGCTCCTGCTGGGAGCGAGGATCGTTACTGGGCTCGTTCAGCGGTCTCACGATTATGCTGACGTGAGCGGGCGAGCGCTAAGAAGCGGTGAGCGTGCCTTCATCAACGTCATGCCGTTTGAGTGAAGGCTACAAGCACTGCAGAAGCACGCGTTTGCTTTGGTGAGGTGCGTGCCCCTCTTGCTGAGTGCGAGGTCTCTCACCGGACCCGTCCTGCATTCTCACATTTATGCCGATGCGATCCAGTGAACGCTGGGGAGCTGTGTGACCTTCATCAACGCAGAGCCGTTTGGGTGAAGGCTGCTCGCATCGCAAGAATACGCGTTTGACACCGCTTCGATGAGGATTGTGCAGCTCGGGCTGAAAACAAGTTATTTCGCTTACGACTGTTGTGTCATGCGAGCGTCTTGTCTCGTTTTGGAGCAACAGTGATTCTGAAAACCCTGTTTTTAAGGACACCAGCTCGATTTGTGTGGAAGATGTGTGCGCAGCCGCTGTGAGTTCATCCGAGCTTACAGACTGGCTAAAAACAGACACTTTAATCATTGAATGATGTTCATGTTTTATTTCAAAACTCGTGTCATTTTTACACACACCCTCCGCAGACCGTCATTTTTTTAATCTTTTCCCCCGTGAGCTCTGCGATTTGTTGGCCCAGGGTGCCGCCTGTTGGCGATCTCTGGGAAAATGCTGAACTGCCGGTTGCCGGGATGAAGAGAGCTGGTCTCTGACGGGCGGGGCTGGCAGTGGAGCGGAGCGAAATGACGCTGCTGTGGTCGTGGAATGTCGTTGTTGCTGTCTCTGCTCACGACAATCCTTCCAGCTTGCCGGGGGGCGGGATGAGATGCACGACTTGATGAGGTGGTGCACAGTCTCTGACACCTCCTCCAACTTTTTCAAGTTTTCCAGCATCGCCTTGAAACTGCTCCCGAACAGCGCATCCGTCTTGATGGGGCCCTCCATCAGGTCTTTGTGCAGTTTTTCCGGCAGAGAGGGGGAATGATAGAGCCAGGTGGATCTCTGAATCATCGTCATCCACTCTGCAATTCTGGACAGGTAGACTACAGAAGAGGCGCACATGTTGAGGATGACGTCAGATGCCTTGCAAAGGGAGCACTTCATCTCCTCAGGCAGATCTGCAGCCTCCAGCCTCTTGGACACGCTGTACGCCAACAGCGCCACGTTGTTGTTTACTGCGGCTGCCTGAAACGCACACTGGTGAGCTCGATTGGAGAGTGTAGCCACCGTCTGGTCATGTTTCCCAAAAGGGATGGGACGCTACTCCAACCTGGACAGCTTCGCTCCAAAAGCTTCCGCCAGGCTCGGCTCCAGGGGGGGTACCCAGGGAAAGTTCCGCTCGGTGAACCCCTCCACTCTGGTGATGGGAGCGAAAGTGGAGACGGGCGCTCTCATTTTACCAGGACCAGCCGCAGCCTCATTCCAGTAGGACGCCACCGCTGGAAACCAAGGCCAGATGGGATCAGGCTGGCGAGCCAGAGTGGAGCCAAACCTTCTCGCTAGATCATCCGATCTGGGCGGGGGGGAGGAGAGGGACGGAAAGTCCCTTCGTGTCAGCAGCTTCCCGGATAATGTCGGGCAGCTCCGAGAGGAGGGCACCAACGGCAGGGAGCGATGTGGCCGTTGAGGCAGGAAAGCCCGGAGGGGTTGAGCATCCGCTCGTCCCCCCTCGTTCTAACACTATACTCTCCGGGAGGGAGCGAACATCAGGGCTGATGCTGGCGTCGCCTGTCCCAGAGGAACCATCCGATTCGCTCCGAGAGCCGGCGTAGAAGAAATCGATTGCATCGTCCAGCGAACAGTCTCCCACCACGGACAGGCAGTCCTCGACGTTAGCCTTAAACAAGGCTGCTCTCTTCTGCCTTTCCTCCAGAGGAAGGAGGTCACAGAGGCGGCAGGAGGAGGCGCGGTCGACGTGGCGGGGACCCAGGCATCCTTCGCAGGTGTCGTGCCGGTCAAAACTGAGCAAGTAGCCAGTCTTGCAGGACAGAAACAGGTGGATGGTGTTGGAGCTGGACATCTTGTTGAAGGTCAGTGGTATTAGCTTGCTGAAGAAAAATGGGACCCGATTACCCGCTCTTAACGTAATTTATACGGACCGGGTGGGGCCCACACAGCAGTTGGGTGTGGACTAAACTTTTCAGTGTAATGCTTCGCATGACGGGATAAAACCCACCAGCAACAGCCTTAAAGGGTGAAGCCTATACGAAATAGAACAATGAGCCGAAGAAACAAAAAATAACCAAAAACAGACAGCACTCACAAAACAACCAAAAGACACTGATTGTGACAGATGCTGAAACAGGAGCTTGAAGAAGCTATGGATTCACCTTGAACACAGGTCACAATGAGATGTAGTTTCTAAACCTAACTAACCAACTTTTGTCATATTAAAAGTATCCATCCATTCATCCATTTTCTTTACCCACTTCTCCTTTCCGAGTCGAAGGGAGCTGATGTCAATCTTCAGCAATCATTGTGTGAAAGGCCGGGTACACCCTGGACAGTTCTCAGGCTCATCACAGGGCCACAGAGAGACAAACACATGTTCACACTCTCACCAACACCTACATACAATTTAGAATTACAAATAAATCTAAAATGCTTATTTACGGTCTGTGGGAGGAAACTGGAGTATTTGGATTAAACTTGTGTGTGCACAGGGATTACACACAAATTTGACCCAAAAAGGCACCAGGCCAAGTCTGCAAACTTCTTGCTGAGAGGCGACAGCTCTATCAACTTCACCACAACACTGTCATTATAAAACTATGTATATTTTATGTAGGCTTTTATGAATTATCTCTGTCACACCTCAGTTTTTGTAATTGCAGATAAAATACTGGAGGAATCATGAAGATAGTGAAGGTGGAGCCCAAAGGGTGGTGGCGCTAGCCATGGATAACCACACTAAACTCGAGGGTTTGAGGTCCAACTCGGAATACCTTGTTGAGGTTCGAGGCTACAACTCTGCAGGATATGGACCACCCAGCAAACGCATCAAGATTCACACCAAGAAACCTCGTATGTTAAGCTTTAAAGCACTCTGAAAATGGCATACCTCATAATTATGCACCCTACATACATCTGAGTTACTTTCATAAAAAATATTATTAAATAATGTTTGGCTTTTTTTAATTTTTTTTATCTAAAAGCTCCAGACAGACCTCCAAAAATAATAAGCACAAAACTAAAGGGCAAGTTTGTGAATATTGCTTGGGAGCAGGTGGAACCACTGAATAATGAATCATCAATAGATGGTTACAGAGTGAGTACGATGTCTTAACTTAATCTATGAAATTAAAATGTCGCTGTCTCTTGGTGTTCTTTATACCGCACTCATAAACTTGTCTTCTTTTAAACCTAGGTGCTGTACAAACAGAAGGGAAACCCTGTGCCCACTCTGTACACAACCAGTAAGAAGTATATAGAACTCCCTTTGCCTGCAGATGGGGAATATGTGGTGGAAGTTCGGGCACACACTGAGGGAGGAGATGGAGCTGTGGCACAAATCAGCGTTCAAGGTAACTCCTAAGCATGTTTTTAGACATTTTCTAATTACTAGAATCCTTTTTCACATGCTTGCAAAAGGATGACAAAGAAAAGAAAAATACTTTAACTTAAAAAAATAGATTTCCTCATTATTGTAATTAAATATAATGCTCGAGTATAATCACTGAACAAACCATTGTCATCAAGGTTTCGTTAAAGATTTAAGTCATCTAATGACAATTATTTCTGAATAGTTGAGCTTAAACTGTGAATATTCATTCAGCCATTTGCTTAGAGAATTGTACCAGGCTCAAAGTTAGCAGTTGGTTTTCATTTGTGAAAAGTGGGGAGTACTCGAGTCTGAGATGAGCTGTCACATCAGGTTTCAAACCTCAGACTAGAGGTGTGTGATGGTCTGTGACTAAAGCCTTGATACCCCTCTGCATGGCTGAAGGAGAGGCAGGCTGCCTGGACCAAGAAGAATGTACAGTAAGCCTCTGTAATTGATCTTGATAAGATGAGGAAAGTCCTTCTTTTGACTTCCCTAATCCCTTATCATTTGGTTTGAATCCCACCCGACAGTCTGATTTCACAAACTCTGGAATTTAAGTTGGAATGGATTTCAAACAAAGGACATTGATAAATAGAGAGGCATTGAAGGCAATTTCCAAACAGATAGGGCACATTGCTATTTAGACATCTAATATGGTTTTTGATCTGATTGGGTGAGAGGCTGACTTTGTTGTAGGGGACTAGAAGTAGACCAAGAGTCTTGCTTTGCAGCCTGTAGTCCTGCAGGTGTCATTTGGGCAGAGCTTTTTTCAGGTTTATGAAAATACACTCAGTGACTAAAGATTTAGCACCCAGAAGGAATGGTCTGATTTGGACATACTTTGGTACAAATGCAGGCTAGTGATCGGCATATAGATTAGTATTGCTAGGAGCCAGTATGTTTAGAATGGACACCAGATGGCATAAGTCAGGGGTGTCAAACACTTACAAAATGAGGCCAAAATTAAAATATTTTCCAAACTAAGGGCCCGTTTCAGAATCTACAGTAACTCAAGTTAGATATCCAACATCTTTTCTTGGCTGTAGGTTTCTCAACAAGAGTTTGATTGATTGCATTTGACATTCTCTACTTTTAACATCATTATCAAAGATTACTGAAAAAAATTAAAGTGATAAAAGTATTTCACATTTATAATAACATCTTGGGGGCCAGGTAAGATGTCAATGAGGGCCGCATTTAACCCTCGGGCCTTGAGTTTGACACATATGGCATAAGTGGTGGCATTACGAGTGGAGTCAGTCAAGAGCGAATCATGGTCATCAGGTACAGAGGATGCATCGTCTCATTGGACATTGTTACCAGCAACTGGTGGAGTTTGATATGGGTCACAGTGGGTTGCATAAGGCTACATGGTTGTGTTTTGCCTGTCAGCTGTATGGATCAATGGATCACTGAGAGTATACACACATGCTGTGAAGGGTCCAGATGCTCAAAACAGCCCACATCAAGGGAGAATCATTGTATTGTGTGCCAGCCATTACAGAACCCTTTGATATTTGTGGCTGCCTTTCAAACACAGGTACTGGATTGTTTTCAACATTTTGTGTTATCACCATGTTTGTTTGACTGGGAACAGCTGGACTAAAAGTTCATCATCCCATGCATAAGTTGCCCTTAACAGCAAGGAGTGGCATCATGACTGGGAGGCATAGACGAGTGGTCTAATATCATGCTCAGCAAGGAATTTTAGATTTGACCTACCAAGGATGGCCATCATGTGTGCTTCTGATGGCACTGAGGAAGGACCAATCTGGCCGGTGTTGTTATGCTATAGTCAGGTGTTATCTGTGAGCATCATGTTGTAGGGATCCATAGGGAATGACTTCAGGTCACCTCTGGTGGTAATTTTAGAGACCTTTATGACACAGCATGTCATCTGCATCTGCATTTCTTAAGTCTTCTGAGACACCTCCCAGGTGCAGTTTTTCAACAACACAATTCCAGTTTGCACACAACACATAAGTTTAAGTTGAAGTTATATCAAGCAATGTCATCAATGTGCCTGTACTGTCAACTCTGTTATTCATTTTATTAATTTTATCTGATACTCTAACTATTGCAGTAGAGTCACGGGATCTTTCAACACATGCAGTTCCATAAATACTCACCCCTCTGTTAAATGCCAAAATAATTGTCAGTGAGCGTGTTTACAAAACTTTGCACATTATTTAAACTATACAGTGGAACTGAACCATTCAATTGACAAATATGTTTTATTATTTTATATCTTTATAAGTGAAAATATCATTTAAATTATGTTTCTTGTTTTTGTCATATTTTTTCAGGCGGAGGCATCATACCCACTGTATCTCTCAGGGTTTCCTCCCTGCTCCTGGTGGTTCTCCTCCTCCTGAACATTTGAATGTAGCGCCATCTTTGTGTTCACTTACATCAACAAAGAAACCTGTGGTTGCTGAAGGTTTACGCCTATAAGGATTTGGGGCTGTTTCCACAATATTTGTATTTCTCCCTGTTATCCGGGATGTCATATTCCAGCTTTCTTCCCTCTCTGGGATGTATTTGCAGAAATGGACATGGACATGAAACAATTTGGAAATGGACAAAGACGTTCTGTATTTATCCACAAAAAGCCTCTTAGAAGCCTCTTAGAAATGTTGAAGATGTGTCAACTTCAAATGCCTTATATAAATGATTGCTCTTATCTTTCACGGTGACTTGTTTTAAAGTGGTTCATGACTGAAAGTGTAAATTGTAAAGTTTGCAAATAGTTTGGAGTTTTTTCACATCTCATATCAGATTTTTGGGTATAGAAATGCTGCATTTTTAGTTATGTGGGCTTCATTTAATCTGGGAGGTTTTGGGAAAATCAGTCGTTCATTCCATAATATCAGGTAAACAATATAGAGGGTTTTTTTTAAACGTCAAAATTGGACTTTATTTACAGCTCTGTCATTTTTTTTAAACATTAAGCAAACACTGTCTTACAGCGATAGTTAAAGCATTTTTTATAACAAGCAGAGAGAAAAATTATGTCATGCTGAATAAAAACATTCAATTACAAATACTGTCATATCTAATATAATGAAGTAAAAAAAAAACTGATTGGTTTTTATCTATAACTGGTGCTTCTTTATAAACCATACTATGAGCTCCATCACGTCAACTTCAAAGATATGTTTGCTGTTGTCTAATTAATTAATTGTCTGTGGGTATTTTGGCTGATGTGAAAGCAAACCAGGCAGTGAATCAAAAATGTCTAAACTGACAAAATGACTTTTCAAATGCAAATCTGCCTGCCAACTTCTGGTTATATTAGCACATCTTTGCAGCAGCAATGAGGGTGATGCAAACAATTCCAAACTAACCCCTCTGTTTTAACTGTATCAATAGGACCTCCATAGTACCATGACATATATTATTACAGTAGACCAAATGTCCATGCATTCACTTGCTGTTTAGGATTGAAACCTGTAGGACCTGCTTTATGGGTGCTACCATGTTGCACATTTCCAACCAGACTTTGTGCACTAGGGGGCTTTAAGTCCCGCCTACTTCCTCACACAAGTTATGTTACATAAACTTTTTGTTAAAGCACTAAACTAATTACAGATAAACATCTTTAAAAATGAATATTTGAGGAACATACAAACTATTTGAATCAATGTCAAGATAAATAAAACTCTGAGGATTATTAAAAGCCTATTGTCCCCTTTGTTTACCTGGACGACTTAAAACTCATACTGGGACCAATCTATGGGGTTGCAGGTTCTCTACTGGCTTCAACCACTTTGTTTCCATATGAGGTCTGGTATTATTATTATTATTATTATTATTATTATTATTATTATTATTATTATTATTATTATTATTATTATTATTATTATTATTATTATTATTATTATTTTATTATTATGAGGTCCTGTATTACACTACATGGTCTGTGAGTGGTAGGGGCTGGTGCTTTGCAACAAATGTTAGTATTTAATTTAAACAGTCTCATTTAATCCTGCTCACTGTTGGCTTTGTATGAGAGTCACTATTAACTACTGATGAACAGTAGCAATACTCATTCCTGTTATTAATTGTGCAATGTCAAACTGATGATTTTCAAATAAGACCATTTGCTGATCTTCATGTAACAGAAGTCTTGTATTTTTTATTCATAATTTAAATATCAACAGGTGAACAAAATCCATCTATTTCAACACTAAAAGCTCATCCAAACCTCATAAAGTTAGTCTGAAGGCTTTTTTTTTGTGCTTTTATTAACATACGATCTCAGCTTATGAACATTTCAACTTGTAATTTCTGTTTGTGATTATTGTATCTGTATTAATTGATCCATCTTTGGTTGGTCAGTTCTAAAGTTGATTTCCCTCAGAATAGGGGAGCAGATGCTGCATTTTGAGTTCCTCCTTGTCACTTGTTGCATGGCAGATGCTAGTCATGCTTCTTTACATTGTGACAGTATCAATGTCAACCACAAAGTGCTTTTCCTGGTTTATTTTCATGCCATAAATCATCACCAGAAAAAAATAAAATAAATAGAGTTGTCAAATGCATGAATGCTTTGTACTTTGACATTTTGGACAATGCAGCAGCTCAACATAATAACATGTATGCATGAGATAACAAGCGTTGCAACGTGCAACCATCAAGAAAACTTCCTGGACTTTTCTAAAATACAAACAAATACAAAACATTTTATCCCTGGGTAACGTCACTTTAAATCAGAGATGATAAAGATATTGGACCATCAATTGATACAAGCTTCAATAAGTCAATCTCAAGTCAAGTTTCTATAAGGGAGGTCTTTTAGAGGGAACATTCTGAATGGACTAAACAGAAACTCATTCTAGTTTAGAAAAGGTCCTGTATTCTCATGCACACATGGTGTTTGAGATCTGATGGCATCTGTAGCCCATCTGCCTGTCTATAGAAATTCAGTTCTCTACTGGATGTGACTGGCATATATGATTATATGAGGGATGAAGCTGAAACCTCTCATTGCCTGGAAAAGGAACAATAAAAATGTAGTTAACTATAATGTTTCTCTGTTGCTTTTTTGGTAGCTTTTTCAATAACCAAAAAGAAACACTGTTGAACCAAGAATACTATCTGAAAAGAGATTTACAGTTTAAAGAGCTGGAAAAAACATTGATAGGATCAATGACTTAAGTAAAAGTGTATTTACACCATTATATTATTCAGTTAGTCAAAGTTTTAAAACTACTCTGAACTTGCTGGTGTAAGATAATACATTTTACATTGAGATCTTGGATTGGATTGGACATCAGATTCTATTTTTATTTACATTTTACATAACAATCCTACTGTGATGGACTGGAGACCTGTCCAGGGTGTCTCCCGCCTCTCGCACAGTGATAGCTGGATATGGGCAGGCACCAGTGAACCTGGAGGACGACTGCTCTAACCACCCATCCACAGCCGCTCAATTTGCTGTTTCAAATTGTGACCTGAAAAAGAAGAAGTGGGTAAAATATAATGGACGGATGGACGGACGTACGGATGGATGTATGGATGTATGAATGTTAATTTCCAAAATTACTGACTACATTTTGTGTTCCCAGTTCTTCAAAAGAGAAAACATGTTTGTTTCAAATTTTGTCGCTTGTTACTTTCAGACTCACAACACTTTCTTACTAAACAAGACAAAACTGATTGATTTGTTTTATTAAAACGCTTTTAGACAATTTTCAACATCAGTATTCAACCATTTGCAATAAGTGACCAACTTATGTTGGGGCCCCGAAAGCCAATTTTCTAACTGCTGTCCGTTTGAAAGCCTTTGTCTACACCTTTATGTATCAGTGGCAGATTATGTTTCGTTATGTTCCCCTCACAGATGAAAAACAGCTCTGGTTTTTCAGGGAGAAACAGCTGTGAGAGTTTTGTTTACTCTGAGATATTGAGCAGATGAAAGATAAACGGATAACACTACTCTTTGTCTTTTGAGTCCCCAGTTGCAGCTCTGATTCCTGTCCCTGAGTCCCAAGCTGCAGCTCGGACCTGTCTCCTGATGCAGCTCTGGTCCCTGGTTCTCCGGCTGCAGCCCTGTCTCCACCACCTGCTGCTGCAGCCCTGTCTCCACCACCTGCTGCTGCAGCCCTGTCTCCACCACCTGCTGCTGCAGTCCTGACTCCACCACCTGCTGCAGATCTAGTCCCCGGCTCGTCTGCTGAGGTCCTCGTCCCTGACTCTGCTGAGGCTCCCGGCTCATCTGAGGTCCTCATCATTAGGTCGGCTGAGGTCCTTGCTCATGGCTCGTCGGTTGAGGTCCTCGCTTCCAGCTCGCCTGAGGTCTTCGCTTCCAGCTCGCATGAGGTCTTTGCTCCTGGCTCAACTGAGGTCTTCGCTCCTGGCTTGCCTGAGGTCTTCACTCCCGGCTCGCCTGAGGCCTTAGCCCCTGGCTCGCCTGAGGTCTTTGCCCCCGGCTCTCCTGAGGTCTTCATCCCTGACCTGCCTGAGGTCTTCATCCCCGGCTTGACTGAGGTCTTCGTCCCCGACTCCCCTTTGGCCTTTGCTCCTGACCCTCCTGCAGAGGTCCTCACCCCTGGTTAGGCTTTGGAGGTCCTCATCTACCTGAGTCCAGGCAGGCAGAGAAGGACGCCTCTACTACCCCGAAAGGGATGGTTCTCTGGTCGCCCACCGGAACTCTGGCCTGAGAGTGGATGGTTTCCTGGCAGCCCCCCTGATCTCTTGCCTCATCAGGAACAGTCACCTGGTTGCCCTCCTGAGTACTGGTCCTGCCCTGGATGGTCTCCTGACCGCCCACCTTGACTCTGGGTTGGGGTTCTGGGTCGTTGTGTTTTGTATTTGGTGTTTTCCAGGGTTTGTTCCTGCTTGTTCTATGTCGTATAAGCTTCGCCCTTTAAGGCCTTCGCTTTAGTGGGTTTATCCCGTTATGCAGAGCATAAGCACTGAAAAAATTAGTCCACGCCCACCTGCTGTGTGGGCCCCACCCGGTCCGTATAAATTACGTTAAGAGCGGGAAATCGGCTCCCATTTTTTCTTCAGCGAGCTAATATAGCACTGTCAGAAGAACAAAGAAGATAAATTGTGTAAATGACCAACCTTTGTGAAGGATGCTTGGCCCGGCAGTCGACCTCCGGTCGTCCGGTGAGCTCTCCTCCCCGAGGAGAAGATGACAGCAGTCTTATTCCAAGGTAAGCGTCGGGGAACATTTCCCAGTGACAGGTCACTACACGCTGGACAACGCCATCTTGTGTTTTTTCCTCTTATCGCCGACCCTCGGGGCGAACCGGATGGTTCCTCCGGGGCAAGGCGTGCTCAGCTGCAGCCCCCGCTGCTCATTCCCTCCTGGGGAGCGTAGTGTAGGTGGAGGGGGGCTGAGTGAATGCTCACCCCATCCCACATCGTTTCGCATCGGCGATCACACCGCTCCCGGCCGACAGCGCCCTCAGGGGTTGCCCGGCGGAACCCGGGAGGAGGCTGACATGAAGGGACCCCTTTTTTCTACGTCCCTCGCCTTTTC